TTTTACAGAAAGTGCACATCTTACAATCCTTTTTTAGATGGCCTATTTTGTGACATTTAAAACATTTTATGTTTTTATTCTCCGCTTTAAAAGCAACCTGTTTGTACTCAATTTTCCTTTCTGTAAATCTGTTTTCTTCTGATAAAAGTCTGTTAGTTAAGTTGGTAAGTGTCTTTTTGTCATCGGGTGTTGATTCCCATGCTGTGATGAAGAATTTATATTGGTTTGGTAAGCAGGTTAATATTTTTGATATCACCATGTCATCATCAATGTTTTGGCTAAGATTATTTAATCTCATCCTCAAGTTTTCTATATCTGTGATCAACTGTGACATTGTCTGGTTTTCAAATTTGAAGTTAAAGAAATCTTGTAATAAGGAAGACTTGTTTCTTTCTTCAGATCCTTCAAATACTGCACATAGCTTATTGTACATTTCATATGCATTTTTGCAATTTATGATGTGACCTTTTAGTTTTCTATCTATGGAGTTCAATATCAACTTCTTTACCTTAGCATCCTTAGTTCGGAATTCTGGTTTTTCTCTCTGTTCTGGGTCTGTTTCTTTCAACACTTCCGACAGATTCGATGCCGAAACATGTATATTTATCTCAAATTTCCAGATGTGGAAATTGTCAGAGTTCGTAAGTTTTTCTATATTTTCTTCTTGGTTATTCATTTTTTAATTCTTTTATGCACTGTTCTCACTCTGGGCAGTCTGGGCCCATAACCTGAAGGGTATAGGAATGCTCAGATGAGGGAAACCAACCTTTTATTAATATTATTTATTATTATTTTAAGATATCACTGACCGTTTTTTACTGTAGTACATTTTCTTGAGACCATAGTGTAACTTTTCTATCCACTGACAAAGAGAACAATTACTAGTGTTGTGCTGTGTGCACTTCTTAATAGCGATGTACCCACTAACAGGGATCTCCGTTTGGAACACTACCGCGGTCCCTCATATAATCACCCAACCTTGTGGTGCAACCACGATAGCTTGAACCTACTTCAAGCAATTGGTTCGCCCTTAGGTTCGCTGTACTGACTTAAAGCGACACAGTTGCCCGCGATCTCTGAGGCCCCTTTCCGGTAGGGGAACACCATTTATGTATGGAGGACCGTAACGAGGCGTACCCTCGTCTCGGTGACCCCGTCTCCTAGAGGGATCTGTTCTCTCTCGGTCTCTCTCAGCAGCCTCCTTCTTGACTATCACGGTCTCGCAGAAGGAGGTTACGGCCCTCCATGCTGCATCTCGACTCAACATCGCCGATACAACTGCTGGTAAGGAAAGGTTTAGTCCAGTGCTTACCAGGATACTCCGCTCTGTCTCCCATGCTGGGCATACCCCCAGGGTATGGGTTGCGGAATCCTGGTAGCTTCCATCGCAGTGGAAACAATTTGCCGTCGCCTCACGTCCGATTTTACACAGATAATCACCAAAGCATCCATGCCCAGTGATTATCTGTGTAAGTCTGTAGGTGAGCCTGCCTTCCCGTCGCTACATCCAGGCTTCGAAGACTGGCAGGGTAGCTTCCACGACGCGTTTATGTGCGCAGTGTTCTTGGCTGAGCCGAGCGCGCCAGACCAAGAAAGCAGAATGCCTCTTCTCGCTACTACTCTGTCGAAGGGCGTGAATTCGGTGGTACATCCTTGCGTCCATTTCCGCCAGTATGTCCAGAGGTGGAAAGCGAGCCAGGACAGTCGCCGCCTCAAAGGATATAGTTCTGTACCCTCGTACGATCCGTATAGCCATCCGCCTCTGGATACTGTAGATCTTAGACCTGCAACGTCGGATGGCGAGCCTTTTTGACCAAACAGGTGCCCCATATAAGGCTACGGATCGCAAAACCCCGGCATAGACGCGGCGAACTTCTTCTCTTGGTTCCCCAAGATTAGGTAGCAGTCTGTGCATTGCACCCGCTAACCTCTCGATCCGGGGGACTAGGCGCTCGAAGTGTTCTTCGAAACCCCAGCGACTATCTAGGATTAGGCCCAGGTACTTCATGTACCGACCTATCCTGATTTCAGACCCACCCACACAGACACATGAGTTGGGTGGTTCCCTGCCTCGTGGCATTTTATGGAACCACATTGCCTCGGTCTTATGTGGCGCTACTTCTAGACCCAACTCATGAAATTTGGCGACGACGGTTACCACCCCAAGCTCAGCGAGGTCTTTGGTCCTCTCGATCGACACGCAGGACAGCATCATAGGTCACGTTCCACAGTAAAAGGCCGAGAACAGACCCCTGTGGAACTCCGCAGTGAATTTCCCTCCGGATCTTGTTGCCGTCTTTGTCCCTATATAATATGTACCTATCGCGCAAGTAGTCTGCGATAACGCCTTGGAGATAAGGGGGCACTTGGTGGTAAGAAAGCCCCCCATATTGGCATACCAGGGTAGAGAATTGAAGGGATTGACGATGTCTAGACTTATTGCCAATGCCACACCACCCCGGACAGATCGGGACCGACACGCGATAGATGCCTATTAAGACGAACGGCAAGAATTCTCTCAAACAACTTGCCAATCTCGTCCAACACGCATATGGGACGGTACGCAGAGGGAGATTCTGCTGCCCTGCCTTCTTTCTTCAAGAGGACCAATCTTGATTCTTTCCAAGCTGTAGGAAACATGGAGCTACGGAGGCAACTAGTAAATAATGGCCTCACTCTGTCCTCCAGTACATTTAAACTCAGCACCCAGACCCGACCTGGTATTCCATCTGGTCCTGGCACATTGTTCCGAGCTCTTAAGCGGGCGATAGCTTGATTTAGTTCTTGGACAGTCACTCCCATGTCATCTTGCCAATCCCACAGAAATAGAGGAGAGCCTGAGGGACTTGATCGCACTGCCGGGAATAGTGTGTTGATCACTTGTCCCAGCAGGTTTGGATCTAACGATATCGCCACAGGAGGCATCCAGGGCCTAAGCTTACCCAGCACCATTCTATAAGGACGCCCCCATGGATCTGTGTTGAGTCCCTCCAAGAGCTCTACCCAGGATCGCGTCTTAGCTTTGGCGATTGCGAGATGCAATGCCTCCGTGTCCGCTCGATAAGCCATATAAAGACTAGTTGTCTCCTCGGCCGTTGCTCGCCTTCTTCTTCGGGCTCTGGTGTATTGGCGTCAGACAGAACGAAGTCGAGATATTTCCGCCGACCACCAGTACACCGCCCTACGCTTGGGGCTACTGACCCGGGGCATTGACATGTCACAAAGTTGAGTCATTGTGCCTCGCAACTAGGTTGTTTCCCTTTCCGGGTCGGACGAAACTCCTTCGGTGTCTTTTGGCCATACCGCAATGTTGGCCGCAGCTTCAAGTAGGTCCCGATCTAGTCGCTTGAGGCACCAATGACGAGGAGGGCTGCTATCACGGCGACTAGACATAATATTAAGGGAGCGACGTCAAAAACGATGTGACGATGGTCAGATAATGTGACTATCTCCTCTGCAACCCACCATCTAGATATCAATTGTGTCGCAGAATGCGACGCCCATGTTAGGTCAACAACCGACTCTCCCTGCCATCGTACACATGTACCCCCGATTCAATAATCGGAGATCCAGCCCAGCCGCCCATTACTTTATAGCTTCCCCTGTCAAATTGTTTCTGTGGTTTCCCCACTCCCTAGCGTGGGAATTAAAGTCCCCCAGAACAATTAACGGGTGAGGCGAGCAACTGCGAACACAGTCTGCTACCTCGTCCAGATACAACTGGTAGTCGGCGAGGAACTCATTGGGAGAGACATAACATCCAACAATGACCAGTGTTCCCCAGTGCACTGCAACGAATCCCCGCCCCCTTATCAATAGGGTGCAGGGTGGGGCATTACTTCCCAGTAAATGGCTACGGTGCCCGAGTCATCGCCGAACCAGCGGGGATCATCAGGCACAACGTAGGGTTCCGCTACAACTGCTAGGGCAACCCTCCACTCCGTAATTGTCTGCATAAGCAGATTTTGTGCATTACAGCTGTGGTTTAGGTTACCCTGGAGGACTTTAAGCAAGTTCGTGGTGGTTTAAGAGTAAAAATGTGGAACGCTTCACGATTTTGCATGTCATCCTTGCGCAGGGGCCATGCTAATCTTCTCTGTATCGTTCCAATTTTAGTATATGTACTGCCGAAGCGTACGATCCGCTACATCGCCTAACATTGAACTGTCTATCTTGCAAGCTGAATTTTCACCTAGGCTGTGTTAACATAAACAAACCTTTGAAAGATTTATCCGAAGACTTTAAGACAAAATGGTCATGTCCCAGTTGTTGCAGCAAGCTGCCAAAAACTGATAACACCAATACACCTATCAGAACCGTCACTAACCAGCTATTTCAAGTTAGTGAGGAGGAGCTTGCGCAAAATATTACCTGTAAGAAGTAAACCCATACGACTGTTCTTCTGGGAGCCGTCAGAGGAAACATTAGATAGTATGCGCACCGTAAGGAATTGGATTAAGTTACACTTGTGTGTCCGGCTCTAAAGCGTAATAGCTCAACAAATAAATATAGGAGTGAGAAGATTAATGAGCCGGTTATTTGATGTTAAGTCTCTGGGCTTATTGGCCTTAGGCTTTCATGCTACTAGAAGTAATACAAATGAGGTGAGTAGTGATTGTTTTAATTACTCTTTTAGTTAAATTCGGGGCCGGGCGATTTATATTAATAACAAAATTCCCCAATATTTTTTGTGTTGACATCCATTATGACTAATCTGTATTGCTTTCTTGCTTAACACCATACCACTTAGATTTATTGTCTATGATATTATACTTTTGGCGCACGCGGAAGAGGAACTATAACCAATTTCCTTTTCCTACAATTTTTCAAATGTCTAAATTTTCCTAAGTTTCATAATTATAATATAAGTAAAGTTTTTGTTTTCCCACTTTTGTCTTCGAAGTATAGACATTGTGAAAAATAAGGCACTTGCAAGTTTAGCCAAGTTTATAATGGAGGTATCAGATATTAACGAATTGTTAAATGTTCGCGGAATTAAGATGGAAAGTGGGGAAAATACTTTTGAGGATGGTACTGAAGATGGTGAATCAGCTGATCCGCTAGCTATAATTCCTCAATACGTAACAGAATCCGATTTGGGTACGTAATATTAGTACAATAACTAGTTTGCTATGCCTCTAGATATAAATTAACGGTGTGTCTAGCATTTGAAAAGGTAAAATGAAAGTTTTAAATACTACATATTATTAGATATTACTCTCTTTATTATACTGTTTACTAAAAAGACTGGTTTACTGGTTACTAAAAAGAAGTTTTAATATCTAATCTCCATGATAAAGTATCCGAGGTTTCCTCATTTGTTTACCAGAGGATAAGGAAACCAAAACGCGACATTGAATGGTACTGCAAAGAAAAAAATTATAAATATAAGCTTAGTGGCAATTGTGTATTTTACTGCTTTGGTCACAATGAAGTGTAGCAAGACGAAAATAAGAAAATAGCACAGAACGTTCTAGATGAGATGAGATTACTAATGACACTTTAAAAAAGATTTGGTCCCTACTTTGTTGACATTTAAAAGTAATTTTTATTACTTTTAAATGTCAACAAATTTTATACATGTTGTTGAGCAGCAAGTGAACTCAAAGATGTGCTAGAATTAGGTACAGCATTGCACTAACCTTTGGGTAAGAATTGTAATTGCATAAATATGTTTTAATTTTATCAGGAAATGTTGCAGTAAGGCTAATAATACTAAACTTAAACTGAAATAAACTAAATACTATGAACATGACTGCTAGGATATGCAAGACTGACACAGAATTAAAAGTGTTTAACTAGAAAAAAAGAGAATATTTTATTACAACTTTGTTTTGATACAGGCAGCTAATTCAGAAGCTTCGGTATGAACATACCATAGTTAAGATCTACTCTTCCTTGTTAATCAATTTGCAAAAATGTTTGTCTATATCATTTAAATGTTTGTATACAGAATAAAATAGACATATGTTAATGCTATATAAAATTCACATTATTAAAGCACTTAAAATGATAGAGTATAATGTTAAAAATATAAGTATCATTAAGTTTTGTCAGGACCAGGTTATGCTTGTTTTTACCATTGATTTTACCCTAACTTTATGGAACTCCCTAAAATTTAATTGTTAGTTTCATTTTCCACCACTGCTTGTGTCACCTTTAGGTGAACTAAGCTCTTATTCTTAAGAGTTTAGTCTTAAGGGGTGCCCCTAATTTGGTCAAAATGAATTTTGGAGGCTGGTTGAGGGAAACCCTTAGATTAGGACACCCTTATTAAAGTAGTGTTTGAGGGTTCAATGGTGAAAATGGGAATTAGTGTTATGAATGGTAAAAGGATTTACCAGACCACATTTTTTTAAAGTATGAACTGTTGTTTGTTAAAGGATTAATGCACTCAGGAAGCGAAATCTTGCCAACTCCACTTACGGTCTTCTCGGATACTCCTGAAGATGAAGACACCATGCATAGCAGTGACTCTGCGGGTATGCACTGTTGTTGATTTTGCTGTACTAACTTATTGGTATTACTCAATCAATTTTAAAAATGTGCTTCTCCTGATACTTATCCAAATTAAATAGGGATAAACAATATGTTTAACCAATTGTATGTAGGTCTTAAAAAAACATACCCATGCATATGTTATAACCCATAGTCGTAAAGTCTATTGATTTGTAACTAAGCGATCCATGTAATTTATAAGCAGAATTTATTTTTCAGAAGAGGTCATTGTCCAGCTGATGGATATTAGAACAAGACTCTCACAGTTAAGGTCTATGTTGGAGCGGAGACTTGGTGAGGATTTATCAGATTATACATTCTGGCTGCAGGATGCCAAGATGGTAAGATATTGTTATACTATCCTTCACAACTTTATTTATACCATGTTTTAGGAATTTATGTGTTGATGTTACAAGTGAAGTTTATATGCAGATCATTTTAACATAATCCATGAATATATATATTATTTTATCGTTATAACATACAGTTGAAGACTGAAAAATACTTTTTATTACAGCTGGAAAACCACAAAACTCTGGTAGAACAATGCATTAAAGGAGAGGGTACTGTACAAGTTAATATCCAGATCAAACCAGCTGAGAGAAAGATCAATATTCTTGATGTTCTCAAACCTGATGAGGAATGTGTACAGTTACCTCAACAGACTGATAGTGAATGTGAGTTTTTGTCTTAAGAAAGGCTATTGTACCATTGTTAGCTATTAACAATGATGTCCAACTTTTTTTTTTAAACAACTGTCTTTCATCTGTATTTTCTCAATCATACTTTTTTTTAAGAGCGAATGAATTAGCATTGAATTATGCATCTGTGTATTTTCACACCCACATATTCTAGATGCTTTCATCTGTTGATTTTCACACCCACCTATTAGTATTAGCCATCCCTATGTTTGGATTTGGACTTTTATACATTATTACACATGTTATCTGTTTATTTCAGTCGAATCCGTGGACATGAAAATGGGAGATACGATTCACAGCACTTCGGACATAATGCAAGCCTCTATGGACACCGAATTATCCCAACCCCACGCCGCTGCTGTCAAATGGGTAGTCGACGCCCAGTTTCGCTCGGACCACAGCAGGGTTCATATCCCGGACGATCCAGCTGATTGGTGAGCAAATAAAGTTGTGATATCATTAGCGCGAACATTAAAAGCTGCAATATAACTACATTATAAAAATCGTTTGTTTTCTTATACTCTATGTTGTCGAGATTGGATCATTCTTGGTTCACGGTCACAAGTGCAAGTCAAGAGACGTAATATCCTATTGCCTGTGGTTAACATAGGATATTGTAAATGGGGTTAAATACAAGGATTAAATGCGACCAATTTACACGAAATTTGTCATAATAATACAAAGTTGTTACAAAAGTCTGAGTAAAGAGAGGTTTCTAAATTTTATTGAAAAATAACCTTTTACACATAAATATTGTAAAAAGATGTTTATGTGTAGATAAATTTAAAAAAGTTAGTTTCAAATACCCTTGCAAAGACATAAAATTAAAATATATTCCATTTAGAGAAGCCTGAAATTATTTATAGTCACTCACTCTTTTCTTAAGCTGGAAGATATTATGTGGAATTAGAAATCATTCTATATCAATCTTTATAGGGACTAAGGATCTCAACAGGCTGAAGGTCATTTACTACTAATTTCCGTCATTCCCTCATAAGAATCCGGTTTCGGCTCGAAACATTCCTGCTCTAAACCAATCCATACCAATCGATTGCTTGATATTACAAAAGATCTTAACCCGGCCCGCACTGTATTTACGCTCTTTTTCGACGTCCCAAAGACGTTCGACAAAGTCGGGCGCAACGATTTGCTTACAAGCTCTTTCCACGCTTTTGTAATTAATAAAGAAGTAAAGCTGCCGGGCAAAGGCTTTTTCTGTACAGAGGTTTTAAGGGCATAGCCCATCACGCCGACACACTTCGAAACTTCACTTATCTATGTAATATTATTTTGTTATTGTTTCTTAAATATGCAGGTTTTTTCCTCGCGATGTCTTTCTTTACGGCATTGGTAGGCTTTATTTGGTAGGTTAACACTTAAAATTAACAAATTCATTGGTGCCGTCACCAGGATTTGAACTGAGGTCGCTCGATCATATTGAATTAAAAAGCGAGTACTTGCCATCACGGTCTAGAGAATTTATTATACTATGTCAAAGTTTTAGTTTTTCGTAGTTTTAGCGTAATTAATCAAAATGTTTTAATTGCAGGTCAGTTCAACACGTAAAGCTGTGGATCCAGTGGGCGGTTAGACAGTTCAATTTAACTGGCATAAAACTGTCTGATTGGAACATAAGTGGGACGGAGTTGTGTGCTATAGCCAACGTCGACTTTAAGTAGGTTCATTCTAAATTATCTATTTTTATTTTATCTGTCTCGATTTTTACGTGTTTTATAAAAACGGCATCATTGTCATCAAAATAATCGCGAAAGAAATGTTTTGACAAATGGCATCATAGTCATCAAAATAATGGAAACATTAACTATTTAAGACGTAGTGCACAAATGTCTTTTTCTATAATTTCGATTTATATTTCCTCCTTACAGAGAAAAAGTACCGTCCGATCCCGGCGATTTGTTCTGGACGCATTTCGAACTGTTGCGAAAGTGCAAATTTATTGGTAAGTCATTGCTTAATTTAAATATCTCCTTTATAGGAATCGACGTAATCACGATTTGCTGATTTATTTATTTATCACACATAAAAAATATTTGCAGACACATTTTTACACAACGTACTGTAGTTCCAAACTAAGCAGCGCTTGTACTATATACATTTCTTTTGTAAATAAATACAATATGTATTTATTATAGAAATATAGTCTCTTTTCAACAGAAACTACCTTCCGACCGGTGGTAACTTACTTACGAACTTATGTATTAATTATAATTTATGTAAAATTTGACATGTCATAAGAACGCCCAAACGTCTATTTGAATAAAGATATTGTGAACTTGAATTATAAACACCCAGACATTAGAGAAACACTATGTTCATCACACACAATACTTTTTCAAGTAGTGGGGATCGAACCCACACCCTCTGGCGTAAGAGCTTCGCTATTCCCCTCGCCAATCGGGTCGTCTTCATAATAATGGCCAATTTTCCGTTTCAGCCGTAGTACAAAACGACGAGCAGCCTATGAATGACATACTGGACACTCCACAGTCGGCGATTAAGAAAAGACCCAAGCAGCACGTGAGTGTTTCAAATTTGTTCTAACTCATTGACCTTCGCGCGTAGAAGTAGTCAGATTCTCGATTTGGTCAACATTTTATACTTCCCAAAAAGTTATCAGTAAACGTCACTGGCCCTGGGAAATTTGCGTATTTGGTCTTGCACCTGCGTCAAATTTTCTCTACTCCCAGGTTCGACTGGAAGAGAATGCCCATAAGCATTAAGTTTGCTTTTGTTTAGCCTTAAGTTGAGGTGTAAACAATAAATTTTTAAATAAATAAAATAAATAAATAGACGCCATAAAAATGGGGGCGAACATATCACTTATAGTTACTTATGGTGTAGACTGTCAGTTTTATTTATTCTTTTATACGAAAAGTTGCGAAAAGAATAGGCGGTCCACCTGATGTAAGCGATTACAGGACGCGGGCATCGACGTCATCTGAAGAGTTAGGCCCATTTACACGATGCCGTTTTCTTGTACATACAAGAGCAATAATTGAATGCAATAAATTGCGCGCAATAATTGTTTAGACCATTTGTTGTTTAGACCATGCAACTCATTTATTGCTTCAATTTAATTGTATACAACAGGCAAGCAACTGGCACTATGTAAATGGGCCTTTACATTTTGTACCTTTAAAAAGAACTGGACCCCGGTAAGGTATTACTCACCAGTCGAAACGCGAAAGTATAATACATCCACTTCACGACGGTCTTTTGTGATGGACTAGTACTTCGACGAACATTCTTGTTAGTATTAACCATGGGTCATAAGAATTTACTCTCTAATTTCAGATGATTCTTCGCGAGTCTAACGAGGAAGACGTTTGCCAATACGTAACCACGCGCACAGGCTACAACGGCCAGATTCAGCTGTGGCAATTCCTTCTAGAGCTGCTCACCAGCGCCGAATACTTCGACGTTATACGATGGCATGGTATAAACCCTATTTTTTCCTACATGAGGACATTAGACGATTGTAGAACATAAAACGGCTATGTATTATGCCTGTATAATTATGGTGGTCAATGAATGAAGTAAATTTAAATGAATTACAATCGTTTTGAATTTTAGGAATAGTTAGATTTTTTTTAGTGCACATGTCAAAATCGATGTCAATAATTTTAATTTTAAAACATACATACTCTTCGATGACTGGAATTAAAGAACTAAAGTAATTGATCACTCGTACAGACCTGACAATGAATAATTATTTCGAATTCTTGTGTGTGTCCCTACTAGTTGAGTCCTATAGAAATTTTTATTTATTTATTTAAAACTTTATGCAGAAAAGTAATTTTGAATAAGAGCACGTTGTGTACGAAGGCTTCGGCGTCGGGGGTCGTGGGTTCGATCTCCACACGGGACAATTTGTGTGACCCACAGATAGTTATTTCGCATCTGGGTGTTTGTCCGCGTGAAATTTATGTTTGTAAAACGTCCTTACAACACAGGATCATTTTATCCTAAAGGGCCGTGTTAAAAAAACAATAAAAAAATAAAACTGTGGTAGGGCCGCGTAACAGTTCGCTGTTGCACGAAGTGGCAGGTCCGTTCTGGGAGTACCGAGACCTTACAGAAGACCTTACCTTAAGTGGTAGTCAAGGCCCACTTTGTTAAAGGGCGTCAACGCAACTGCTTATATAATATTTATTTATTTATTTATTTATAAAAAAAATGTTCTCGCAGGCACCGAGGGCGAGTTCAAACTGCTGGAGCCGGAGTGCGTCGCACGCTTGTGGGGCGCGCGCAAACACAAGCCGGCCATGAACTACGAGAAGTTGTCGCGCGCATTGCGTTATTACTACGACGGCGACATGATCGCCAAGGTGGCGGGCAAGAGGCGAGTGACTTGTTACAGTTAATTATATTTTAAATTTTTATCGCCAAAAAATGCTTTGGTTCGTATTTTTAAATTATGCCATTTGGTTCAAAGACTGATATACATACACGCCTTTAAATGTGACTGAACCTTTCTGTAACACCCTGTATATGCGTAATATATAAGCCCTTTAGGTTCGAAACACCAAACAAACAGGTTTATGACTTCTCCGAGGAGCTCTCACGCGAGGGACTCCGGTGGGCTCCGTAGGAGATTCCCTCCTAGAAGGTGGCTATTGGGGGGTTTTAGAGGGCACGAGCCTCATATAACCCTGTCATGTAAGGTGACAGGTTTATCTTTTGGAGATTTTCCTCTCCGATACCATAAAAAAGGTTCGAAACATCAAGGTGGCGGGCGAGAGGCAAGTGGTAGCCACTTGTTCGCGCGTTAGAACGATCTAGAGGCATACTTACTATCGACTGTGGGATTTTATTATACATGCGCACACTTTGCCCCATAAACGATCTATTTACTTTTTGTAGACGAAAAAATGGCGTAATTCATTTGTCCTTATTTCTAGTATTGAATTTATGTCTGTCAGTATTCTTTAGGTTTACAACCAATTAAGATTATACATACAAAATATTACAATAAAATATATAGGGACGCAACAGTGAGTATATTAATCTCTTTAAAAAGATCTCTGAGTGTATTCCGGGCTCCGATATTATAGATTGCTCGGACAGCTCTTTTTTGAAGAATAAATATAGAATTTATATCAGATGCACTACCCCACAACAAAATGCCGTACTATAAGATGCTGTGAAAATAACTAAAGTAAACAAGTCTGGCAGTGTCAATGACTATTAGCTGCCTAACCTTCCAAATCGCAAAAACAGCGGAGCTTAGCCTACTCGCAAGAGAAGATAAATGAGGACTCGACTGAAGCTTTGAATCTACTGTAATCCCCAAGAAAACAGCGGACTCAACAGGATTGAGGGATACGTTATTTAATAATTAACTAAATCTTTTCCTTCTTACATTAGAAAGAGTAAAAAGAATACATTTAGTTTTTTTGGCATTTAATACCACATTATTTATGGTGAACCAGTGGAGGATATACGAAAGTGCACCATTTACGTCGTCATAATTTGATAAATTTCAGTCAATCTTAAAGATGAGCGATGTATCGTCAGCAAACAGTACAACATCACAAAACTTACTGGCATAAGAGGGGAGATCATTTATATGTACTAGAAATAATAATGGGCCCAAGATTGATCCTTGTGGGACACCCATTTTCATGGGAGACCCTGCGGATCCTCCATAGATCCTTTAGATTCGGAACACCTCAAGTGACATCCCATCCACTCCAAGCGACGGTCCTAACTTGAACCCTGAGTTTTTTTTACAAGGAACTTTCCAGTTCTTTATTGCTATACCCCATACTGAACAGCTAAGTAGTTTTGAATAGAAAGAGATGCCTAACTCATTTTACCCAATATCTAAACATGTAAAAGCAAAAAACTAATGTTGGGAGGCGGAAACCACTTTTAATTAAAAAAATGGCTGATAAAACGATGATTTGATATCCCGTTCGCTTGCATATGCAGACTTGTACCTCAAACTCACTTTCTAATTTAAAATATTAGGCTTTTTCGTTTTATTACACGTGTGTGATAATCGGAATTGGAGTAGAGTAATCGTTTATATGTTAGAAATGCATCTTCAACTCCGTGGGTGTTGTAAAGATATATTGCGACTGTAATCACTTAAGATCAAACCGCTTGTACACTTAACTCCATCTCACAACATCTGTTCATCTATGTTCTTAAATTTCCCTCCAGTATCATTTTTCATATACCAGTTTTATTTAATTTCACTTAATTGTGACTGCTATATATCAACCCCCTTATAAATGAATTATTTTTTGTTTTAACAGGTTTGTGTACAAGTTCGTGTGTGATTTGCGACAGTTACTGGGTTACGGTGCCGACGAATTGGCGGAACTAGTCAAAGAGGTACATGATTCCAAGGACGTGAATGAGCATAGCTAAAGAATATAGTCACTATTGTATTGAAAAAAAAATGTATATTGTTTACTGTTATTGTGTCGTATCCTCTAGAGTAGCAGTAACATTATATGAATGTACAGTTGATTGCTTTAAAGTTAAATGTTCAACAGCATAATCTGAATACTTATGTTTTTATAATTATCTTTGCAAAATGATTATTATTTGTATAGCTATATCAGTGTTATGCACATTTATAATTCTGTACTGTAAGCTCATTAAAGTATACTATCCGAAACAATAATAATTCTGTGTATGATACATTGTTTGTGCAGTTAGCATCTTGTTATTGTTTAACTTTGTTATTACAGTTATTTATAGTATAAATATAAACCATCGGGGAAAATAATATGTTGACACAATTTGAAGATAACCTTAATTGATGACCTCCACGTGCCTGCACGGGATTATAAATGTTGAAGTCACGTAGACACATCTGTCTATACAACTGTTGTCGAGACCAGGTCTTATTAATGTGTGTAAATAAACGTATCAGTCATGGACTTCAACAATGACAACATAGTTTCCAAAATGTAAATTTAGGACCAGGCAACAGTGTTTGCTGTTGCACGAATGGGCAGGTCCGTTCGGGTTAGTACCACGACCTCACAGAAGATCGACGAAGTAGAAGTGTTACACTTCTGCGTTTCGTCTGGTGAGTGAGGTAGCCTGGGCCCACTTTATTAAAAGGTGAAAACGCATCTGCAACCCTATGGGTGTTGAAAATGTCCATGGGCGGCGGTTATCACTAAATATCAGGTGAATCGCCGTTTGCCACTTTATCACATTAAAAAAAATGTTATCTTAGTAAATATTCTGACAATGCCTAGTTGGCATTATAATATTTGTTTGAAAACTTAAATAGAAAAGCTGTGTTCTCAATGTATCTCGATGTATTCGAATCTATAATGTTATCTCGTAGTTACGAAGGATTTTAATCAAATTGTTAAAATATAAAAGAAATTTACCGTTTTAAGCTTTTATTGGTCGAGTTGGCATGTATTTCACCAAATTGAAGCGGTCAAAGTAAATAGGGTCGAAGCGGTCAAATTAAATAAGGTCAAAATGCGACTTTATTTATTTCTGTGGATGCATACATTATTCCTATCAAAAAAGAAAGGTTAAAAGCTGTAACCCACAAATACATAAATAGAAAATGCAATCGGCAATGTATAAACAATATGTCACGAACAGAAGTTGATGTGTGCAAAATATTCGCATGGAGAGCGGTATAAAATTGTGATCGGCCGTTTTATTAGGCGTAGTGGCTAAACTTTGTGCGTTCGAGAAGCTCTAAAAATTCCTGCCATATAAATATTTGTTACTTATTCCTGTGCAAGTGCTTCATAGTTGCTATTGACATTATCATTTACTTTTAAACTACTTTAGATTTATACTTAATATGTCAGGCCAAGCAAAGTTGCAGAGCCGTTACTCTGTGAAATTGGTAAGTCATTAAATTTTTGTATACACTTTAAGCGTACCTAATAATTATGATTATTTATTTACTATCGATCTCTAACTGTGCTTCTTATTTTGTATATTAGCGTCTTACCTTGAACGTTTTATACCTTTGGCATTCGATAAAATATCATTTTACTAAATTTTTTGTGTTCCATGACCATTAAGTATGATTGTAAATAGACTCATAATGCGAAGAGTAATCACTTTAACGTCACGGGTAAAGCGTTTCCATAAAAATGTGCAATAGGATTGCGTATTATTCAAAGCGAATTTGTCATGTCATTGCCATAAATGTGTAAATAAGAATATATTCATAGTCCTTTATTTAGTTTTAAGCCTTTCTGTACAAATAAAGTTTATTTTAAAACGTTTATGTGGATTTTTCTATTTTGGATTCCTTTTTAATTGTATGATTATCGATCCCGAGTTTTTTGGTATGAGCGCCATGTCTAATTCTTGAATTTTATGATATGTGTATTCCCCATTAGAAAGCAATGTCCAGTGTAGAGAATATAAAAAGGTAATCGCACAAAAATAGCTTTTAATTCATACAAATTTTATCTAGACCGTTGTACGAGTTTGGGCTAGAACAGCACAAATTAAAAAAAAACAAATTGCCAATAACCATTGTGCAATTTATTTCTGTTTAAAATATTACATACTTAGTAGGTGACAAAAGACGTCGCATATTGATAGAATATAATAAGTAGTTATCTGTGTTGTCTATTTAAAAATAGCAGCACGAACGTGCGTTTGAATTTCTACTTTCTTTTAATTACCTGTGTCCAAACTGCTGTAATCATATCGAAATACCTATCGACACAAAACCACGTATAACAGTGTTGCAATTTAAATGGATGTTTCTTATAAAAATAATGGAAAGATGGGAGAAAGTGCCCATGTGGAACACAAGGCTGGTGCGTGGCGTTTTGAAATAAAAAAAGGTGGTTTAAAATATTACTTTGCCGTATATTGTTGTTGTTCGCCTTATGAGAAGTAACATTCGAGTTAAAAAAGTGAATGTCAAAAATATTAACATTAAAAATACATTTCCCAGATTATGAAGGCGAACCTGAAAGTGGATGGTGGGACTCTTGAGTAGTAATGATGGCAGGTAAGTGGCTGTTAATATTAACTGTGCTAATGACACGCTACAGTCTTATTAAATAGGCGAACTGAAGACTGGCGTGAATTGGGCGTTATAACGTTTCATCTGGTGTCTGAGGTAGTCGAGGACCACTTTATTACAATGTTGCAACGCATCTGCAACCATAGGGGAGTTGAAAATGGCAATGAGCGGCGGTTATCACTTTTCAATAAAATAAAATTTGTAGAATATTAGACGAATATTTCGCCGCCACGAGAAATCGAACCCATGTTTTCCGGATTCGCGCCCAGAAGCTTTAACCACAAACAAATCTAAACGGCTAACTGCCACATCGCGACAATGTCAACGTATTGTACATTGTTGTTTCACATTTCAAAAAATGCTTGGCGCCATCTGTTGTTATGCCCTTTACAGCACACAAATAACGTATAACAATATACGTAGTTGTACATTTAAATTATAATATTGTACGTATACGAATTATTGTTTCGATCTGTTCTGAACTTGCGTTTCTCTAGGGCATTCTTAAATTGAAAGTTAAAATTCGCAAATGAAATTTGAACATTTGTGGAGAAATGGACGAAAAGTTTTTCGCGGCTACGAAGACTTGAACCTGCGTCCTGCAGGATTCGCTCCCGACGCTTAGGTCACTTTTTTATGTATGTTCGGTCATAGCTGGGTCATATATAGATTAGCAACATTCTTTTATTGTTCCAAAGATTTTTATTCCGAAAACTAAAATTAAATTTCATTTATATCTGACGACGAGTTTCGGTGATAGGCAACGGAACAAACAAAGACAGCAAATCAACCGCGATTTCTGCTATCTCATGCATATTTATGTGATAGCAGAATCGTTTTGAGCAATCACACAACGTATCATTACGTCTGTAAAGTCGAAAAGCTTAAGCAGATGTATTCTGTCCAACTGAGATCGCGGAAACGTGTCGCGTATTGACACAATTGTATTAATTGTGTAAATACGGCCGTCGCAAGTATAAATAAAATAAAATATAAAATGAAATAAAAATAGCCTTTATTACTACTACCAATTTAAACTTTTTTTTAACATATTTACATTTTGGTTTTTAACATACACATATATATACTTTTTTTTATAAAATATCATTAGGCAGTAGTTGCGTCGACGGCGTAGGCCTCTCCTAATTCTTCCCAGATTTTTCGATCACGTGCCTTCGTAAGTATAACTGGCTTTTTATTCGACAGAGACGTAGCTCGAGAATTCATTTAATATTGTATTTTGTGTTATCTAATCCTAATTCTCCCTCGTACCTTAAGGATACTTTCCAATACCTTCACTCTGTTCTTGACAGTATCTCTTTCCATCAACCAACTTAAAATTCGCATTTCACAACATAATACGGGATACTTTAACTCTGCTTTTACTATTAATTGTCCCAAATTCGCGCCCCGCATACGGCATTTGTCACTTTCGCTAAAATCAGCTCGGGTAAACGTTGAAAAATGTCAAAACATTTCTCTCTAATTTGTATTTTTATACAATTTGACTTGAGCTCTTGCTAAAAATTCGTCCTAAAATTAGCATCTATTAATTTTAGCGACTAGAATATTTACTGCGAAAGCCCTTCATCATGACGGTTGTGAGCCGTTGTTAAATTCACACGAATTTTATTACATACACGTCGGCACAATTAGCGGAACGCTATAAAAGGAGTGTGGACACAAAGCCTCAAGCAAAGCAAGAAAAGAGACAGTGGAGCGAGTACTTGCTGGGTAATATGTTAGAGGAGTCACCGACAAGATTGGCTACATCTTGAAGCAGACTTCGATTAATATATCAAGTCTCCGAAGAAGTCAGTTTTCCAGGAGTCTACAACCTGGAGTGTAATTGTAGGCTCTCTTACATAGGTCAAAAAAAAGAGCAATGGAAAACCCTCGTGATATATATAGTTGACATTTATAGTTGACTTAAAACATCACTAATTAAACAAGTCTGGAGTATGTGAGCATAATAATAATAATAATAAGGCGCTGGACGTGGCAGCATGCGGGACGCCAGCCGAGCGCGGGGTACTGCACGACCACCAAGCAGTACCTCGCATCCATCATCCCCACCAGTTGGCTTGGTGTCGGCAGGATCCTCTCGGATCCAGCAATCGGCACCCGCCGCTGGTGGAATACGCCGCTTGCGCTGGACTGAAGAAATGAATAGGAACGCAATGCGGGCGTATCTTAGGGCGAAAGGGAGTGAGACTGGAGGGTTTGCGTATCGGGCAAGGATGCATCGCTTTTTTGCTGAGCTGGAGCCATCTATAACCGTCACCGAGCAAAACCTGGCAGACCGAGTTCGGTACATCATGCGCTCAAAAATATTTGATGATACCGAGCTCGAACGACTACGACGTGAGGCTGTTCCCTCATCGGATGA